TTCAGGCTTGCTGAATGTTGGCCCATCTCATCTTCTTCCTCGCAATTGTGGCCAGTCTCCCAGTCAATCCTCTTAACTCTTAATAATTTTCCTTCCTTTCCCCAAACATATACACAAACTTATATCCACACACAAACACATTATTTATTTACCGTCTTCTTACCTTTTTTCATAAATTTTCTGTCACACACAGTGCATGTGAGCCTTTGTATGTCAGAACCTTATTTTCTTTGTGGTTCAAGTGTCAAATTCTTAAGTGGTATTGAATTAGTGTAATTTCTTCTTTCTGCTTTTTGTTTTGAGGTGTATGTGTGTCCTTGTGATTGTATATTTGTTATTGCTTAAAAACAATGACATCTATGGATTGCAGATTCACTATGATCAATCAGTGTCTCAGTGTCATACATTTTCATAGATTACATTAGGGTGCCCTACAGTTCTTTCTCTTAATTACGCAGAATAAAAGAGGGGATAGTATTGACACTATTTTTTTCAAACAAAATAAGTTGCTAGGGGGTAGGTTTAGGAGATTTTTCCACATTTTAATACATTGAATTTCCTTTAAAGGCTGAGCCAGTGGTATTAATACTTACAGTGTACTGTTCTCCTAAGCTATGGACAGGTTATCAGAACTTGCCGTCTCACAGCCAGAGCTTTGCTGTTGCTGAAATCCAAACTGAGCAGGAAGAGTGAACCAAACACGAACCAAAAACAGTAACCAATAACCAAATTAATTCAAGTCATTAATTTTGCAAAAAAAAAGAATGTGTGAACTTCCAGTCCAGCCTTCCTTCTTTCTGTTGACTGTTACTTTGATATCAAATTAGCCACAGAGCAGATGTTTTTGACATGTATGTGTATGTGACAAATAAAGTACCTTTAGACCTTTAAATATCTGCAAGAACTGAGCGAGCATTTAGTAAAAGACCGACAAATTGTAGTTTTTGTGTATTTTTTACATTAATATTGATGACTGTACTGAGCCTTGTGAATCAGAAGCTGGTGGATAAAACCAAGGTTTCAAAGTCTTGTTCTATCAATGCATTTAATATTTCTTTCTATTACAAGTCTTTTATTCTGATTAAAGTGGATGCTCAGTGAAGCACCAGGTAGGAACCTTTCAGTGAGATCAGCATGAAAAGGTATTATTGACACTAAGATAGTTTTGAAAATATGGCTGCGGGAGAAATGTAGCACATAACAACTCAGTGGGAGCCTGTCACCAGTGAATGTCGAATAGTAGAAAAAAGTAACCGGGCGAATTATAAAGGAGTGGACATGACAACTGCTTCCCTAATGGGGATGTAGACTTCATTCTCCATCACAGTGAGGGAACATACCAGAGAAAATAACAAGACTGTTCAGTGTCCAATGTGATTATCTGTAGCTGTTGGTCTATAGGTTACAATACAATCTCTAAAGCAATGACCATCACGGTTCTCACAACAGAAATGAATAATTCATGAATACGTAAACCCTCAAACGCATTTTTCAACAAGCTTCAAGCTTCTATATTATGAACCAACATGCAGACATCACTAACATCTCTCCCCCTCTGTTCTTATATACCCTTCAGTCTCTCTGAATTTGATTCCTTTGGTTTGATGTTGCCTTTAAGGAATCATCAAGAAACTGGGGCTCCATGCTGTTGAATCCAAATATGGTGTGAAAAGTATGAAAGTCAGCCCATTCTTGAAATATTTCTTTTTGTCAACCTGACAATATAGTAAAAAACAACATGTAGAGATGGGGCAAGAACTCACTTTTCCAAAGAGTTAATTTCTGATCCCTGGTCTGAGTACTATTATTTACCTCTGTATGGTGTTTAAAGAAAACACCATAGACATTAATTGGCGAGTGGGTTATTTAAAGATATTTCAGATTTTACCAGTAAAATATAAAATAATAAGCTCCTTTCAACATTCACATCTAATTTATTGTAAGAAATAACTAGAATGAATCAGGTATTGCCAGATTTTACAAACTTTTGTTGGTATTTCATAGAAATCAAGATAAAACTGTTTAGTTGCTAAACTCAAAAAAGTGGCTCTAGTCTAAAGACAAACTTAACAATTGATTGCTATTAATTCCCTTTCTTTTATTTTTCAACATCGCTACTTTTATATTTGTCCATTGTGTATGTATGTACATGTGCTTCAGCCATTTAGTACTTGTGTGTGCTTAGTAGGTCTGTGGCTTCAGAAAGCCGTGTTGTCTACACATCCAGCTGCCCTGCAGAAATGTCTTCCTTTTTGAGGTTATGCTTGTCGCTAAAATACTTTTATTGCATTGACAGCTGTTGAAGCCAGTTTGGCAAGTTAAGAATCAGCCTTTGATAGTTTTAATTATGTTGCAATCAACCTCTTTTCTTTAATCCTTAATCTCAGTTTCATGGTGATTAATTGCCAACAACACCATTTAGAAGTCTCTTATGCCTTCTGCCCCTTTGGCTGACTATAATCAGTGGCTGCTGTCTCCTCCGCTCTACTTCTTCCTCCTCTTCTCCCCCCAAACACACTTCGTAAGAGCATTTCCCAAAAACACAGCAACAGTTTATTCCGAATACTGTTGCCGGAGTGTTAACATGAGTCTACATAGTATTATGTTAAAATAAACAACACAGCAATGTTACTTTTGTCATGGTTTTTGTGGTCTTGTTCCCCGAGTGCATAATCACCTCACTGCATATGTTCTGGCACAACTGACAGATGTTCAGATTCACGCACCTAAATCTAGTTCAAAGAAATGAGGGAAGACTGCTTTTGTTTCATGCAGCCCAAAGCTCTGAAACAGCCTCTCTGAAAATCCAAGGGATATGGAAACCGAGTGTTTCAAGACCACATATACTTACTGGGACAATTATGACTATTCTTTCACAGTATCTTCTGTACAGTATAAATTAGGCCATCACATACTAAGTAAGCATCTCTGTTTCCATAGCATAACAGGGTCAGGTACTGATAGGTGTTACCTCACTCTCTATAGGAGGCGTTACAAAAGAGGATGAATGCAGGACTAGGCTGTGCCTTTCAGGTTCCAAACAATAAACTGGATCATCTATGTACTATTATATTATTGTGCATTTTGGGGGCTATAGAACAACTGTCAAATTAAACAGATTTTTTGTTTAGCATCAGTGCCAACATACAGATCCAGACCCAAACATTAAAAAAAATTAACACTGCTTTTACCATGTTATAATGAAATACATTCAAACCTGATACCTATTCATGTAGTTATTTTTAAGGCTTTCAGTAGCACCACTGGTGGGAGTATGGAGTCATTTTCATCATGGGCAGTGGGTGATGTGATTTTGGAGCAGCCTGGAGGTAAAAATGTGCTTCATATCCACCTGTCTAAACTTTGGCGCCCACCAGCTCTGCCAAAGTGCCTGCAGCAAGGTACCGAACCTCTACCAGCTCCAGGGATGATGATATATGGCTGTCCTTACACACAAACCTCCCTGTAGAAATTAATAAAGTGTAGTCAAACATGTGTGTGTGCCTGGTGAGGAGAATATTCTAGCTGGCCCTTACATGATATTTTCTGAAGAACTTAAGGCAAACGTATGATCATGTTCATGTACAGTAACACTTTTGTATAAATCTCTATAGTTTGTTTTTCTTTGGAGCGTTTGTTGAGTTTTAGAAGTGTTATCCTGTTTCATTTTAATTCAATTACACACAATCTCACCTTGAAGCTGTGGTAGTAGAATAATAAGAATAGTAGTAATTGCTGAGCTTATAGGATATGTTGTTTAAACAGGTTCACAAGTTGTCTGTTTTTCTTTATTTGTGAAGCCCACTGCCATCCCCTTCAAATGGTCAACAATGTCATGTGATTGGCTGCTGACATTAACCTTAGCAGGTGAGGTTTTACTGTGAATGCATGAAAGAACTAAAAAATCAGTGTGCAAGATTGTTTGGTTCTTTCACAGTCCAGTAAGTGTTACTGTGAATTTATGAAAATGTTTTGAAGGTGAGCAGGGCTCTGGAAAAAGAACCACTCAGCCATCATATCTCGAAATGACGTCTTGAGGAACCCAGAACCCCCCTTTCCCCAACACACATGACCTCAGGGCTGCAAAGCTTTGCAGCACTCTCCAAAGACATCATTTATGTTGACACACAAGCCCCACAACTATATAACATCAGTGCTAAAGTGGAAACCTCAGCCTTCATCTGTCACACCAAGCACAGTGAGCTTTGGTGCATTAGCATCGTCCCACGCTCTTGGTTCTGGGTCATGCATATTGTATGAGCTTGTAACCTACATCTATCCATGCTTCTGTCAGCTGGGGTCCCATGATCATACAGGTTCAGTACGCAGGGCATAATAGTCCAATCAATCTTTTCCCCTGTCAAAAGAGATCAATGTTCTGATGATTTGACATGTTTCAAACTGCTTAAACTGCCTCTTACATGGCTGCAGATGCTTGAGATGTGTTTTTTTTTTATTGGGCGTTTAAAATGTGTTAACAGTAAAAATATAATGGAGGTTTTATTACGGAGTGATCAGAGTGGGGTAAAACATTAGCTAATGCATTTCACTATTTCATAAATATAGTATAAGATGTGTTATCTTATTTGGCAAATCCAGTCCTCATTTTTGAGGTTATTAGCCTGACATTATCAACCAAAGTATAGTCATGGTTTTATGGAGCTGCAGTAAATCAGTACAGAAAAAAAAGATAACGGGAGAAATAGAAGTTCTATGAGACATTGAGGTTGACAAACTCCCACTGATGAGAGTGAATGGGAGGTGTTAATGTTGAGATTTACTAAAGCAGCATAAAATCAGCCAAATTGTGAGGGGAAATATAAAGCAGGCTGGCCAAGGAAAAATGTAAGCGCTGCAAGGCTGAGGGAGGAACACTCATGAATAGTTTTGCTGTGCACCATATTTAACTGACAAAATATTCAGTGAAGCTGATCAGTCCTTAACCAAAAAGTTTTTGCTTTCTGTTTTTGTTCTGTTTGTGGTTTCTCTTTCTGTCCCAGATTCTGATCGGGGAAGTGACCAGTTTCTTTGTGAAGACAGAGGGAGCTCAGGAGAAGACCATAGTGACCGCTGACTGCTGCTATTTCAACCCTCTCCTCCGTAGGATCGTACGTTTTCTGGGTCAGTTATAGTCCTAAAGATTAGGGGTAGCTTTGACTAAAAAGAGCCTCTGTACTCTGGGACCAAGGCTCATTAAGACCACTACTCCTGTCATAAGAACAGAAAGAGCCCTTATTCTTAGTTTAGGTCTCCTGTGGAGTCCTTTCGCTTGCCTGTCTCTTCGTGTCCTCTTCTGTTGATGTTCTGTGATCTTTTCCATCACCTATATATCACCTATAAAGACCATCACCTGTAGCCTGTATTTATGTAAGTCTAAAGATAAGTCTTTATCTAAATCTTTTAAAGTGATTGTCCATAGATATAAAGCATAAAAGCTATGGCTAAAGCCATAAAGGCTATGCCTGTTTGGCCTTTCCCTCCCACACAGATAATAGTCAGCTTGACTGTTTGATTCCCATTTAAGTGGTTGTTTCTGACTCTTACCAGTCTTATTGATTCAGTTATTTTTAATTTACATATGCATCCCTCTCTCTCACTTTGCCCCCTCTTTTTCACACAGGTGTCTACTCCTTTGGCCTCTTCACAACCACCATCTTTGCCAACGCAGGTCAAGTGGTGACAGGAAACCAGACGCCTCATTTCCTGTCTGCCTGCAAGCCAAACTACACAGCTCTGGGCTGCCAGTCTCCGCTGCAGTACATCACAGAGCGCAGAGCCTGCACAGGAAACCCTTACCTGGTGGTGTCTGCCCGCAAATCCTTCCCCTCCAAAGACGCAGCACTCAGCTTTTATTCAGCCATTTACACAGTGGTAGGGAACTTTTTGGGGGCAATGAGTGAAGGGAGACACATCAGGGTAATTGTGGGATATGATTATTGTGTGTAATGATGATGCAAAAGACATACTTTTGCTTTGATAAAGGTTTACTAGAGCAGAAGGAAAATAAGTCAGAATAAAAGTTTTAGCAATACTTTATAATAAGGAACCTTTTGTAATTGTTTTTTAAAAATCAAAGCACAACACCATGACAGCCTTAAGTTTTTCTTAATGATGCTGTATAATTAATCTATAAAACATCATTATATAAATGATTAATTTACCATTAATAAGCTATAAGTTACAAGTTAACAAATTATTGGCCCTTTGTAAAGGTGACCTTATTAGGTAGTGTGTGTGTGGAGAGAGAGAGAGAGAGAGAGAGAATACAGTACAGAATTCAGACAAATGTAAATGAAAATTACTGATGTATGGTACTAAAGAAGACATTAAAAAAACAGGAATTTGTTGATAAATTATTTTTTCAATAACTTCAGTTTACACTTCCAATTTCTACAATAATGATGTATGACATGAGTAGAAACATCTAGCTATGATTTAAGTTCTGCTGAAAAACAAAACCTTTGTTCTTTTTAATTACAGTGCTATGTTCCTGTCATTTTTTAGAAGCATTAAAACAGTGTTTTCATGGTGCTTTCTTTTTGTACTTCATCAAAACCCTTCAGCTGCTCTAAAATCATTGCACTGTGCGGCCTCTTGTGGCTTGTTCAAGCTATTCAACCCATTAAGCTATTCAAGATGTAGCACTCTTTGAATTATCTCAGCTGGCTGGCTGACTGAAGGAGAAGGAGATTGAGGAGATTCAACACCTGGTTCACTACTAACTAACATGACATTTTTTACAGATGTATGTGACTCTGGTGTTCCGGACCAAAGGGACCCGTCTGACAAAGCCCACCCTGTGCCTAGTGCTGCTGTCTCTGGCCGTGCTGGTTGGGGTGATGAGGGTGACTGAACACAGAAACCACTGGAACGATGTCCTGGCTGGGTTTATCACAGGAGGGGCCATCGCTGCCTTCCTGGTGAGAAGAAGAGGAGGGAAAGAGGGAGATATGAGGAGGGAAGAAGGTGGAAGAAGAGATGGATGGAATTTCAGGGTTCAAAAAAGGAGGGAGGCCATAGTGGTAAATAGATGGTAAGGGGTAGAAAGACATGAGAAAAAGACTGGAGGAAAAGATACTGTCATACAAAGGCAGAGATCAGCAAAAGCAGAGAAGAAGTTGATAAAAATGATTCAAAGCGTTTCTGACTGGCTTAAAAACAGTGTAACTGATAGCAAGATTATAATGTCTTCATTGTATGCCATTTCAGGCTGATTATTTTACCCCTAGTAAATGCCAAAGAATAAGCTACATAATGCCTAAAATAGTGCACTTTGCCTTTTTATCATCCTCACGGAAAGGGGGGGGGGGGGGGACACAACAAACAAAATGTGTTCTTTCACCTTTCATGTCCATTTAACAAGTTTGTTTAAGATATTAACTTTATTTAGATTATTTAGATTCATTGGGATTTCACTAGAGTCAAAAGCTGAGATTTCATTTGGAGCTTCTCTGTAAGATAGTTACCTTTAGCAGGAGCTTAGCTAGCTGTGTTTTCTCTGCATTATGATTGCATTTAGCAACTGCCTCATGTAATAATGTGGAATAACTAACCATTGATGTTGGTTGATCAAAATTGATATTTTTTCACTTACATATAGGGGAAATAGTGGCTATTTCACATGCTAGCTTTAATTTGATATAGCTGTCTTTGCTTTAGCTCTGCGACAGAGAGTGCAGAAAATACAATAGCAGCTTCCAGAGCTCAGAGATTACAAAACCAAAGTGCAGATACTGCAATTTGGTTTTTAGCTCCGGTTTCTAGTTACTGCAAATTTTACCTGCTGTTTTCATTGATAAATAATTTTCTTTGACCAGCTCTTTACAAGTGTATTGCTGTAGAGCGGGAGGATAGTATGAAGGGAGAAGGGATTGTATCAAGGAAAAGTGCTATAAAGAGAGCATTGTTGGTGTGATGTGCGTGCAGGAAAGATGGTGGGAGGAAGGACTGATGATTAAAGCGAGCTTGAGACGAAAGAGCCTTACTGCCTGTGTGATAGACACACACCTGTGAATGTGAATAGACTGATCTGAATCTTTACCGTAGCATATTCATATTGTGTCATTTAATGTTGGACCTCTTGGCCTAAATCATCTGTGTCTCTCCCTCTCAAACTGTAGCCTAAATGTCCTCCTTCATTATCTGTTCCCATGAACACTTGGAGCATACAGAAAACCAGAATATCATCCATCTGTGTCTCTCTCTCTTTTACCACTTTTCTCTGCTCTCCATCAGGTGTCATGTGTGATCAACAATTTCCAGCAAACCCAGATAGCACTGCCGACTCCTCCACCTCCACAGCGACCAGAGCCCCCCATGGGGCTGCCTCTCCTCAGCCTGCCCCGTGTTGAGAGTCCACTCGAAAAGTTAAGTGGTTTCCAGGTAAGGGATGGGGGAAATCAGTCTGGAAGAACATAAATAAAACACTTGAGATGATCAGTAGAATGCACAAAATGTCCATGATGTATTTGTTTTTGAAAAGTGTTGGACCAAAATGAAATATCTGACTAAGGATGAATCTTAATCACTTTGGTGATCCATTGACTTTACCTCTGGTGCCACCATGAGATTGACATTTACGTTTATGAGTGGAATATCTTAAAATAATTGGTACTATTGGGTGGATTGCCATAACATTTGGTACAGACACGCATGTCCCCGGGATGAATTGTAGTCACTTTGGTGATCCTAAAATTTGTAACTTTTAATATAGTGCCATCAGATAAATTTTCAATGCACCCAATACTTTGATTTATCATCAAATACCTGTAAAAAATAATATAAGTCCCATCAGCCTCTGCTTTACTTTGTGTTTAGTGATAATTAGAAAATACATGCTAACATGCTGAACTAAGATGGTAAACATGGTAAACAGTATACCTGTAACATCAGCACATTTGCATTTTCTTTGTGAGCATGCTAGCATACAGATTTTAGCATGAAGCTCAACGCACCACAGTGCCTAAGTACAGCCTAACAGAGCAACTAGTATTGCTGCTTTTACTCTTTTTTTTGTCCTCATTTATAACCTTGGTTGTTTCATTGTGTCAGAATGTTTCCTAGATGCTGATATCTGATGTCTCTGTTGGATACACATTATCTCTTGTCTTGACAACTTCATTTTGCATTCCTTTCTCTTGCTGTCTCAGTTAAGTTTATCTGCTGTATTCCCTCAGGTTTGAACTTACCTAATGTTTTGAAATGATTTATACTATTTATTTCCCTCCCTCTCTACCTCTCCTAATCATTTCTCTGTCCTTTTCCCTCCTATTAGACTCCAGGGCTACCGTATTCTGAGATCACATGACCATCAGCCAACCCCGTCCCCCGCCCCTCCCGATGTGCTCCTCCCCTCACGGCGTTGCCTCACCAGCGCAGTCTAGACCTGCCCACTGAATGCCCCCCGCCCTGCCCTGCCCACCCTGAAGGACGACATCCTCTCCGACGAGTCAAATCCACACAGGTCTGAAGGTCCATTAATCACAGGAGGCAGAACAGCAACACATGCACATGGAGGCTGAAACCTGTCATCCGCTAAGGACCAATAGGAGATGGATAAATTTCCTTCTGTCATGTACTGTCCTGTTTGACCTCCAAGATGGCCTCATTTTTCTTTCAGGTGTAAAAGACCGAATGAAAGATTTGCCAAAGCCAGAGCTGTTGAAGCAATACTGTGTCCTATTTCCTTGTCCTGTTTTCCACAAAGACCCAACAGTGACTCTAAAGACTGTTGGCTGGTGATGACTTGATGAAACACTTGATTAAATCAAAAAAACTCAGCGGAGCTGAGGGTTTTCTTAATGATCTAAGAAAATCCCAATCACTGGTGGATCGTCCTCAAAAGACCATTTTGTAACACTCAGGACAATACAATGGAAAAAAGACTAGATCAAAAATGAAGACCTTGATGTAATCAAAATGCAGGTACTGTCAAGTATTATGGTACAGATTTTTTTCTGTCCTCAAAACTAACTAAAGAGATGCTGTCAAAGAAGAAAGCACTTTTGTAAATTATACCACAGATGAACAAATTTAGTGTTCAGTAAACTGTGTCGTGTTATCTTGTTTGTTTTAGGGGATATGGGATTGATCTTTATACACACTAGAGCTGTGCTTGTGAAACCACACTTGTTTTGGGGCATCCAAATCCTAAATCATCCCTGAAGTGAACTGAACTAGATTTCCATTATCCACAATATCTTTTATCTAGTTACGATTCAGGTGTGTGTGTGTTTATAAATGTCCGTAGGTTCTACGTCCATGCTGTGAAATATTTGGAAAGCTTTATCATCTGACTTACTTGCCTATTCTCATGTGGAGTTCTTTGTTCGTGTTAGTTTGCATAAAAGTCTCACTTTCTCTTTCCCTTACCCCATTCATGCCCCAGCTTTTGTGTCTCAAAATTACATTTATCTAAATGTCAATGTGTTTGTTCCCTTTGCTTTCCAAAATTAATGTTTTTGAAGAGTTGTATGGCATCAGTTGTTGTTGCTACTATTTGTGTCCTGTTCAATTATTTCCAGATTTCCCTGCTTCAGTCCACCTTCAATTCCTCAAACTAACTTTAGAAAACCAACAGCACAGACCAGTGTGTAACACAGAGGTGAGACCTCTGAGTTTTGTATAGTTTTGTACAGTATATAGGTTTCTCTACACAGTATATACTAAATTATCATTATGTTTAACTTGTGTGAACAATGTGAAGCTACCTAAAGCTGTCTTGTAGGAACATGAGTAGTAGCCTGATCTAAAGCAAGAATGTAGCGCAGTGGAGAAGTGTGTGACATCAGCAAAACTGCATACAGCCGGTGTGTTTGGCTCACAACTTGCTTTGGTTCTTCTGCTCAGTTCAAAAAGACACTGCAGGCAGGCTATACTAGTAGGAGAGTACGCAGTGGGTTATATAAAGAAGACATTGCTATGGTTTTATTAAGCGTGTGTGTGTGTGTGTGTGTGTGTGTGTGTGCTTATTGGATTTGTGTGTATGTTTATAATGAGCACATTGTACGGCAGCATAACTGTTAATTTGGCAATCTGCTTTCTTAAGTTAAACTGTCAAAAGTAGCTGCTATAATTACACACTTGTGCTTGTGTGTAACTGCAGGCCTTCAAAGGACCCCTGCCAAGGCGTCCTACAATGCCTGTTATAGCAGAAGGTGTTCATTATAGCTCTGAGATTACCTAAAGTAAAACCTTTCAGTCAGAAGTTTTTATAAACAACTGAAGAGGTAGAGAACACCATAACTGTCAAAATAATGTTATTTTCATGTTAAAATGTCTCTGTTTTGTATTTATTTACCAAAATAAATTGCAATTACCACACATTGCTGCCTGAATTACATTTTTCACTTGATTCGTTGTAATTGCTTGCACACTTCAGTTGGACAAATCTTTGCTGTTATACCAGCTCCATTTGTTTTATGCTGTTATTCAAATCTCCAATGTACATTAGCCACAAACACTGTGTGTAAATGTAAAGAGACATTTTGTGGGATATTCACCTGGTTTAAATTTATTCGTGACTAGTCAGGCAAAGAGCAATAGGCCTTTTTTCACAGCAGACATTTTGTCATACAGTCCCCTCCAAAAGTATTGGAACTGTAAGGCAAAGTCCTTTGTTTTTGTTGTTCACTGAAGACATGTGGCTTTAAGATCAAAAGATGAGTATGAGACAAGAGTTCAGAATTTCAGCTCTCATTTCGTGGTTTTCAAATCTACAGGTGAAACTCGAAAAATTAGCATATCGTGCAAAAGTTCATTTATTTCAGTAATTCAACTTAAAAGGTGAAACTAATATATAGACTCATTACATGCAAAGTGAGATATTTCAAGCCTGTATTTGATATAATTTCGATGATTATGGCTTACAGCTTATGAAAACCCCAAATTCAAAATCTCAGAAAATTAGAATATTTCCCTCCACAAGGAGGGAAAGCCTCAAAAGGTAATTGCAAAAGAAGTTGGATGTTCTCAAAGTGCTGTATCAAGGCACATTAATAGAAAGTTAAGTGGAAGAGAAAAGTCTGGAAGAAAAAGGTGCACAAGCAGCAGGGATGACCGTAGCCTGGAGAGGATTGTCAGGTAAAGGTCATTCAAATGTGTGGGGGAGCTTCACAAGGAGTGAACTGAGGCTGGAGTTACTGCATCAAGAGCCACCACACACAGACGGGTCCTGGACATGGGTTTCAAATGTCGTATTCCTCTTGTCAAGCCACTCCTGAACAACAAACAACGTCAGAAGCGTCTTACCTGGGCTAAAGAAAAAAAGAACTGGTCTGTTTCTCAGTGGTCCAAAGTCCTCTTTTCTGATGAGAGCAAATTTTGCATCTCATTTGGAAACCAAGGTCCCAGAGTCTGGAGGAAGAATGGAGAGGCACACAATCCAAGATGCTTGAAGTCCAGTGTGAAGTTTCCACAGTCTGTGTTGGTTTGGGGAGCCATGTCATCTGCTGGTGTTGGTCCACTGTGCTTTATTAAGTCCAGAGTCAGCGCAGCCGTCTACCGGGACATTTTAGAGCACTTTATGCTTCCTTCAGCGGGCGAGCTTTATGGAGATGCTGACTTCATTTTCCAGCAGGACTTGGCACCTGCCCATACTGCCAAAAGTACCAAAACCTGGTTCAGTGACCATGGGATAACTGTGCTTGATTGGCCAGCAAACTCGCCTGACCTGAACCCCATAGAGAATCTATGGGGCATTGCCAAGAGAAAGATGAAAGACATGAGACCGAACAATTCAGAATTGCTGAAGGCCGCTATTGAAGCATACTGGTCTTCCATAACACCTCAGCAGTGCCACAGGCTGATAGCATCAATGCCACGCCGCCTTGAGGCAGTAATTCATGCAAAACGGGCCCAAACCAAGTACTGAGTACATATGCATGATTATACTTTTCAGAAGGCTGACATTTCTGTATTTAAAATCTTTTTTTTATTTTATTTATTTCATGTAATATTCAAATTTTCTGAGATTTTGAATTTGGGGTTTTCATAAACTGTATGCAATAATCATCGAAATTATATCAAATTGCTTGAAATACTTTTGCACAATATGCTAATTTTTCGAGTTTCACCTGTAGATGTGTTAAACAACTCAGGACATAACCACCCTTTGTTTGAACCCACCCATTTTTCAAGTGAGCAAAACTATTGGAGCATGTGACTGACACATGTTTCTTGTTGCCCAGGTGTTGCCTTTTAGGTTGATTGTCCAAACATTAAATAGCTCTGCATGACTAGTCAAAGTCATCCTTGGTTCAAACCTATAAAAACTGCATTTCTTGTTAAAGAGGATAAACCAACATGAAGACCAGAGAGCTGTCTGTGGGACAAAAGCAAGCCACTGTCAAGCTAAGAAAAGAAGGAAAATCGAACAGAGCTATTCGACAATCACTGGGCATAGCAAGCACAACAATTTGGAATGTCCTGAAAAAGAAAGAAACTACTGGTGTACTGAGCAACAGACGTTGGACAGGTCAGCCAAGGAAAACAACAGTAGATGACAGAAATATCGTGACAGCTGTGAAGAAAACCCCCAAAACATCAGTGACATCACCAATGACCTCCACAGTGCAGGGGTGAAGGTATCATAATCCAGTGTTCGAAGAAGACTCAGAGAACAGAAATATAGAGGCCACACTACAAAATGCAAACCAGTACAGAGATGAGCCGCAAAAGTTCTGGAACAAAATCTTATGGACTGATGAGACCAAGATTAATCTCTACCACAGTGATGGAAAGGCCAAAGTGTGGAGAAAGAAAGGAACTGATAATGATCCGAAGGATACAAGCTCATCTGTGAAGCATGGTGGAGGTAATGTCATGGCTGCTTCTGGAACAGGCTCATTAATATTTATTGATGATGTAACTGATGATGGTAGCTGCAGAATGAATTCAGAAGTGTACAGAAACATTTTGTCTGCTAATTTACAGAGAAATACATTGAAACTCATCGGGAGGAAGTTTATCATGCAGCAGGACAATGACCCAAAACACACTGCCAACAAAACAAAGGACTTCATCAGGGGAAAAGTGGAAGGTTTTAGACTGGCCAAGTCAATCACCTGACCTTAACCCAATAGAGCATGCATTTCACCTCCTTAATGTTATTTACTTTAAGATTATTTGTTCCATTACTTTTGCTCACCTAAGAATGCTGTGGTCTAATACAAACTGTTATGGCAGAAAATTGTGTCCTCTTACATTTAATCTTTTATGTATGATCTTTTAATATTAACATTATTACTATTATTGTTATGTATTGTGTTTTTATCCTTAACCTTTCCTCTCCTATACTCATGTTGGTCTATCCACATTTACTTGGGTTTAGGTCAGAGCTGTGAGATTGTTTTGGTGTTTTCCACTCTTGTTGTTCCTCTCCTCTCATGGAATGTTCATTCAAGGCTGAGAGAGGATCTCTGTTCCCCAAAACATAGAAACCTAGATAGTGTACAGGTGCTGGTCATATAATTAGAATATCATCAAAAAGTTGATTTTATTTCAGTAATTCCATTCAAAAAGTGAAACTTGGATATTATATTCATTCATTACACACAGACTGATATTTCAAATGTTTATTTAATTTAATTGTGATGATTAAAACTGACAACTAATAAAAATCCCAAATTCAGTATCTCCAAAAATTAAAATGTTAAGACCAATACAAAAAATGGATTTTTAGAAATGTTGGCCAACTGAAAAGTATGAGCATGTACAGCACTCAATACTTAGTTGGGGCTCCTTTTGCCCGAATTACTGTAGCAATGCAACGTGGCATGGAGTCTATCAGTCTGTGGCACTGCTCAGGTGTTACGAGAGCCCAGGTTGCTCTGATAGTGGCCTTCAGCTCTTCTGCATTGTTGGGTCTGGCGTATCGCATCTTCCTCTTCACAATACCCCATAGATTTTCTATAGGGTTAAGGTCAGGCGAGTTTGCTAGCCAATTAGAACAGGGATACCATGGTCCTTAAACCAGGTACTGGTAGCTTTGGCACTGTGTGCAGGTGCTAAGTCCTGTTGGAAAATGAAATCTGCATCTCCATAAAGTTGGTCAGCAGCAGGAAGCATAAAGTGCTCTAAAACTTCCTGGTAGACGGCTGCGTTGACCTTGGACCTCAGAAAACACAATGGACCAACACCAGCAGATGACATGGCACCCCAAACCATCACTGACTGTGGAAACTTTACACTGGACTTCAAGCAATGTGGATTCTGTGCCTCTCCTCTCTTCCTCCAGACTCTGGGACCTTGATTTCCAAAGGAAATGCAAAATTTACTTTCATCAGAGAACATAACTTTGGACCACTCAGCAGCAGTCCAGTCCTTTTTGTCTTTAGCCCAGGCGAGACGCTTCTGACGCTGCGTCTTGTTCAAGAGTGGCTTGACACAAGGAATGTGACAGCTGAAACCCATGTCTTGCATATGTCTGTGCGTGGTGGTTCTTGAAGCACTGACTCCAGCTGCAGTCCACTCTTTGTGAATCTCCCCCACATTTTTGAATGGGTTTTGTTTCACAATCCTCTCCAGGGTGCGGTTATCCCTATTGCTTGTACACTTTTTTTCTACCACATCTTTTCCTTCCCTTCACCTCTCTATTAATGTGCTTGGACACAGAGCTCTGTGAACAGCCAGCCTCTTTAGCAATGACCTTTTGTGTCTTGCCCTCCTTGTGCAAGGTGTCAATGGTCGTCTTTTGGACAGCTGTCAAGTCAGCAGTCTTCCCCATGATTGTGTAGCCTACAGAACTAGACTGAGAGACCATTTAAAGGCCTTTGCAGGTGTTTTGAGTTAATTAGCTGATTAGAGTGTGGCACCAGGTGTCTTCAATATTGAACCTTTTCACAATATTCTAATTTTCTGAGATACTGATTTTGGGGTTTTCATTAGTTGTCAGTTATAATCATCAAAATTAAAAGGAATGAACACTTAATATATCAGTCTTTGTGGAATGAGTGTATACATTGTATATACAGAATGGAATTACTGAAATAAATCAACTTTTTGATGATATTCTAATTATATGACCAGCACCTGTAAATGTGGATGCATCCCTTTGCTCAGGGCCAGATGCCCTGTGCCGCCCTAGGCGGCAGGTCTCTGGACCAGCTGTACAGTATATGTGTTTTAGTACTTCTCTGTTTATTCTCTTTTGTTAAATAATTTCTTCAAAGACAATGGTTGGTTGTAACTCAATTCTTTGCTCAACCCCTCACCAGGAATATAATTTCCACGACACAAACTGTAGTATGTCCTAAGTTGTTTAACACATTTAGATGTGAATACCAGGAAATAAAAGCTGAAATTCTGAACTCTAGTCTCATACT